GCCTGTAGTCCCAGCTACTAGGGAGGCTGAGGCAGGAGACTCACTTGAGCCCATGAGTTGGAGGTTGCTGTGAGCTGTGATGCCACGGTACTCTACCCAGGGGGATAGCTTGAGGCTCTGTTTCAAAAATAACCAAAACAAACAAAAAAAAGAAATAATACATGAAGAGGGGGTGGATAGGATTACAATGAAATAAGATTGGCCACAAATTCTAACAGGGGAAATGGTGAAGTTGGTGGTAGATTCATTATACTTTTCTACTTTTAGAACAGTATCAAATTCTTAATAAAGACATAACTTTAAAAAAAAAATTTAAATCCTAGCACCCTGGGAAGCAGGAGTTCAAGACCAGCCTGAGCCAAAGTGAGACCCCCGTCTCTACTAAAAATAGAAACACTGAAGCAATAGGATCGCTTGAGCCCAAGAGTTGGAGGCTACTGTGAGCTATGATGCCATAGCACTCTACTCAGGGCAACAGCTTGAGACTCTGTCTCAAAACAAAATTTTTAAAAAAATAATTAAAAGAGTAGGGTGGGGTCTCGGTGTGTGCCACACCTTTTGGGGGCAAAAAAAAAAAAAGACTGTCTCCTAATAAAGAAACCCTAATGGCTTTAAAAAAATAATAATTAAAAGAGTAAAGTTCAGGATTGAAATAATAAAATGACAGAGCGGGAGGAGCAGCATTTACCATCCAAGCTTCTCCATCTTTTCATTTTATTGATTTATTTATTTTTTGGAATGCCATGGCCTCAGTCTAGCACAGAGCAACCTCAAACTCTTGGGTTCAAATGACAGTCTTACCTCAGCCTCCTGAGTGGCTGGGATTATAGGTGCCCACCAACACACCAGATTAATTTTTCTGCTTTTAGTAGAGACAGAGTCTTACTTTTGCTCACGATGGTCTTGAACTGAGCTCAAGCAATTCTCCTGCCTCCGCCCCCAGAGTGCTAGGATCACAGGTGTGAGCCACCACATCCAGCCTCAGCTGCTCTGTCTTTACTGGCTTCTTTTCATCATGATTGTCCTGTATTATATCCAGAAAGTAGATCTTGATTTTTCATTTTGAAAATTGCTTAAAATTTAAACAAAAAGATAAAATTTGCTTAAATGAAAGATCGCCTATTTACCTTTTACATATCAATACTGCTTTTATGTTAGAAATGACTATATATGTTTCCTAATTAGAGGACTCACCTTACCTGAAAGCATGTTTTCATTATTAATATTTTTTCCCTTCTGTTATCTGGCTACCTTCTTTCCTGCATTCTGCTATTACTGCCATCTTTTTGGTTTTCAGCCACTGTCTACAAATTATAATCACCTGGGGAGCTCTCACTCTCTCACCCTGGGTAGAGTGCTGTGGCATTGTATTTCACAGCAATCTCGCACACCTGTGAGACTGGGCTCAAGCAATCCTTCTGCATCAGCCTCCTCAGTAGCTGGGGCTACAGGCACCTGCCACGATGTCCGGCTAATTTTTCTTTTTTTTTCTTTTTTTTTTTTTAGTAGAGATGGGGTCTCTGCTCTTGCGGAGGCTGGTCTTATACTCCTCAGCTCAAACAATCCACCCACCTTGGCCTCCCAGAGTGCTAGGATTACAGGCATGAGCCATTGTGCCTGGCCCTGGAGAGCTTTTGAAATGCATGCCCAGACCCAGTCTCTGGACTTCTGTTCTCAATCATCTGAGATAGGGCACTTGTATAGGTTTTTAATTGTTCAGTATCTTCCTTCCTGCTGGACTGTGAGTTTCATGAAGCAATTACCTAGTATTGGACTTGAAACACCAGTGTTTAATATAAATTGTTAACTGATTACTTCTATTTATGACATATTGTAAGTTCATATAAGAAACAGTTGGAATTATTCTTTTACAGAAAAACCAAGAGAATATTTAATAACTATATTGGAACGTCTGAGAATTGCCAAAGTAACAGGTGTAGCTTTTCCTTTCTTTATGGATAACTCTAACATCGTAGCTATGTTTGAGATGATGGACCCCTCCAAAAGAGGCACCATATCATTTATGCAATTTAAAGAAGGTCAGTATCCTCTATAATTGAGGTAGTAGGTTGCCATTCCCTTTCTTTAGCTGAAAATCTCACTTTATAAATTTTCATTTCTTCTAATTCTTGCAAAGCTCTTCAAACGCTGGGTCTGTGTACTGTAGATGAAGATTTAAAAGATGATGGACGTGGAATAAGTTTGGATAAATTCAGGGATGAAGTGTGAGTTCATTTATAAATGTCTATTTTAATAACAAATGATTTTTGAGATACAATTAATACTTTTAAAAATACATTCCCTACCCTTTTTTATTTATTGTTATTATTTTTTTTTGCAGTTTTTGGCCAGGGCTGGGTTTGAACCCACCACCTCCAGTATATGGGGCCAGTGCCCTACTCCTTTGAGCCACAGGCGCTGCCCTATTTATTATTATTTTTGAGACAGTTTCACTATGTTGCCCTCAGTAGAGTGCTTGGCATCACAGCTCACAGCAACCTCAAACTCTTGGGCTTAAGTAATTCTCTTGCCTCAGCCTCCCCAGTAGCTGGGACTACAGGCACCTGCCACAATGACCAGCTATGTTTTGGTTGTAGTTGTCGTTGTTTGGCAGGCCCAGCTGGATTTAAGCCCACCAGCTCTGGTTTATGAGCTGACTGGAAAGTGAGGACAAGAAGAACTGACAGTAAAGTCCCCAAGCCTGGAGTGGGGTTGGGTGGGAGGTGTGCAGGTGTGAGATTGGGATGGGTAATCTTGGAGTTAAAGAAGTTTTAGGGGGAGCTCCATTCTTTCTTTCATGCAAACCCCCAGCAATTTTCAAAGAATGGGGTGAACCAGCACCAATCTGATAGAACAGAAAAGCTTTGCACTTAACATACTAGTTAGAAAATCTCTGTATAGGGCAGCACCTGTGGCTCAGTGGGTAGGGCGCTGGCCCCATATACTGAGGGTGGCAGGTTCAAACCCGACCCTGGCCAAACTACAACAAAAAAATAGCCAGACATTGTGGCAGGAGCCTGTAGTCCCAGCTACTCGGGAGGCTGAGGCAAAAGAATCGCCTAAACCCAGGAGTTAGAGCTGTGAGCTGTGTGATGCCACGGCACTCTACCGAGGGCGATAAAATGAGACTGTCTCTACCAAAAAAAAAAAAAAAGAAAAGAAAAGAAAATTTCTGTATAAAATATACAGGGTGCCCCTAAAGTCACCATACATAGGGGAAATGGAAACTATAGCTAAATATACTTTATTTGCTTGAGCCCAAGAGTTTTGAGGTTGCTGTGAGCTAAGATGATGTCATGACACTCTATCCAAGGCAAGAGAGTGAAACTGTCTCAAAATAAAAAAAGAACAAAAACAAAAAACTAAATGTACTTTTATATTACAAATTTTTTTTTTTTTTGAGACAGAACCTCAAGCTATCCCCCTGGGTAGAGTGCCCTGGCATCACAGCTCACAGCAACCTCCAACTCCTGGGCTCAAGCGAGTCTCCTGCCTCAGCCTCCCAAGTAGCTGGGACCACAGGCGCCTGCCACAACGCCTGGCCATTTTTTTGGCTGCAGCCATCATTGTTGTTTGGTGGGCCCGGGCTGGGGATTCGAACCCACCACCTTAGGTGTATGTGGCTGGCGCCTCAGCCGCTTGAGCCACAGGTGCCGAGCCTATATTACAAAATTTTACAAGATATTTATAAATACATGTTTGTATTTGTAGCCACCTCTTTGTAAAATCTTGTAATGAATATTTTGTAACTAAAGGTACATTTAGCTGCAATTTACCATTTGCCCTATGTACATATGGCAACTTAAGGGGCAAACTTTGGGGCACCCTGTAGAATAGTAGGATTTCAGAGTACTTCCTCAAAATCATAAGTTGCAAAGTAGATGTTTATCAATAGTATAGGTTACATGCCAGTTCAACAATTTTAGATTTGAGATATTGCAGAATTAAAAGCATTAACTGGGGCTGGGTGCCATGGTTCACATCTATAATTCTAGCACTCTGGGAGGCTGAGGTGGGAGGATTGCTTATGCTCAGCAATTGAAGGCCAGCCTGAAAGTACAACCCCATCTCTACAAAAAAAAAGAGAAAGAAAAAAAGAAAAATTAGCTGGACATAGTGGTGCACACCTATAGACCTAGCTACTGAGAAGGCTGAGGCAGAAGGATCATTAGCACCTCAGGTTGCTCTGAGGTGACAAGGCCACTGCACGCTAGCCTGGGCAACAGAGTGAAACTCTGTCTGCAAAAAATAAAATTAAAAAAATAAATAATAGTACTAAAAGCTAAGTCAGAGAAAAACTAATTGGCATAAAGTTTAATAGTTACAGAAAGCCTCTGGAGAAGCTAGCTCAATTTCTTTAAAACTTTTACTGTCTGAGAATTTATTAATCAAGAAACCACTACTTAATACGGCCCATAGCCAAGGAAAAAGTTAGAAGAAAAAAGAAATTTTCAGGTTTGTGTTTTTTTTTAAACAGTCTCACTCTGTTGCCTAGAGTACAATGGCGTAAGCTTAGCTCACAGTAACCTCCAACTCCTGGGTTCAAGTAATCCTCCTGCCTCAGCCTCCAGAGTAGCTAGGATTACAGGTGCCCACCATAACGACCAGCTAACTTTTCTATTTTTAGTAGCTAGAGTCTTGCTTAGGCTGGTCATGAACTCAAGGGATCTTCCTGCCTCAGCCTCCCAGAGTGCTGGGATTCCAGGATAAGAAACTGCTTCTGCACTGAAACTTTCAGATTTTCATATCAGCAGCCACATAAATGTTAAACAAAAATGTATAATTAAGAACATAATACATTTTCCCTACTACATGGGAAAAACCGAGGTGGAGTGCTCTGGCACAATCATCCAGAAAGAAAAGGTTGCCCGTTGTTACATAGAAGTATTTTTAAATGAAAGAACATTTTTGAAAAATGAAGAATAATCCTATTTTATCCACCATCTCCTAATGTGTTTTCTTACTGAAATAAAATGAATTACCAAACTAGATATAGAAACCTCAATTTTAAATACACAATCTAAAGTGATTTTAAAAAGTTTATTGGCTGTTTTATTATCCACAACAGATTTTCCTTTTATTAGGACAGGAAATTGAAAATTGGTTATAATATATTATCTCTGCTCTTATATTTTCTTCAATAGATATATTCAGCATTTATATTTGTAAATGGAATTATGTTGAGTTTTCATGGTTTCTAAATTTTGTTTTTGTTTTCCTAGGAACAAGAGGACTCAGGAAATATGGTCAGCATTTTAATAACACCAATACATCCAAGATAAAAATGATTCCATAAAGTTTTCAGTTGTCCGGTTTCATTAATTCGGAACTTCATCAGATAACTTTAAGGCCAACTAGCTTTCTCTTTCTTAAAAACAAAACCCTAGCTACTCAGGAGGTTGAGGCAAAAGTATTGCCTAAGCCCAAGAGCTAGAGGTTGCTGTGAGCTGTGATGCCACAGCGCTCTACCAAGGGTGACAAAATGAGACTCTGTCTCTAAAAAAAAAATTTTAAAACAAAACCCCCAAAAATCCTTTTCCTGAAAGTTGCATTATTTCCCAGTGTTAGGCCAGTTTGTCCTCAAATTAAGTAGAATTTCAACATCTTGTTGAGCCAGTTTGTAAACTCCAACTTCATTTAACGCTGCTGTTGCAGGAAGCTGTCCTGAAGCTGACTGCAATACATCTTTCAAGAGTAGTGCAGAGCCAATGTTCAAATTCAAAATAATACAAGCTTCTTTTACACTGTTTCAGGGAAAAAAAAAAAAAAAGGGAAATGAGACCTCCACTATCTATATGATTCATATTGTCCTGTAACAATTTCATATGTGGAAACTAAACAGTTTCCCTGCATTCCTGGTCCATATGTTCTCTATAAAAACTATGGATTTATTCTTTGGCCCTTTTAACATGTTAGGACTACACATGTGCAGAGAGTTTATATTTTGTTAGGTTACCATAAGGTAATAGGATCATTGTTTTCAACTTGGATCCACCATTTCCCTAAAAACAATACTTGATATTAACACTCTAGCTACAACTTTAGGTAGATTAAAATATGGGAAAAGAAGAAATTAAAGGATAACATCAAAGTAGCACAAAGGTAGAATAATTAACATAGATTTAAAAAACAAAAATAATCATACCTTACTGAAATAAGAAAACATAAGCTTTCATTTTATAAGTTTAAAAGGAATGCTTTATAATGTCACAAACTCTATATAATGCTTTATAACATCACAGACTCTATATAATTTAAATTTTAAATCAATAAATTCTGAAAATATTTCTAAGAAATATTCTTACATACATTTATAATTATACTTAGAGCCAAAATTACTATCAAATGTATAAGAAA